CGAAGGTGACACAGAGCACCCGGGGCCGCCGCCCATTCGTCGCAGGGGCCCCGGGCCCAGCAATCCCCCATGAAAACGATTGCAGCACTTATTGCGACGAAATGGCCCATGTCTGCAGGCATGGGGCCACCGCGCAAACATAGCAGTCATGTCCCTTCGATGCGGTTAAACGCCCATATTTCCATTGTTCTATCTTCAGTGAGGTTTCCAGCCACTTCGTCTTCCACCCGGAGAGTTAGAGGGCCCACGGCGCCAAGCATCCAGCGCAACGCTTCTCGCGGTGCTTCGGCGGCAGGCTGCGTCGGCATCGCCAGATTCTGCCAGGCCCACCTGTTGATCAGGACGTAGCTTCTGCTCGGGAGCCACGTTTTCTCTGATATCCCGGGCGCGTCCGCCCGTCGACCCGGCAGGCGACGCTGGCGCAAGGGGCCGGTCGCCCTGCCCCCCCCCCGGCCGGCCCTTCCATCTGCCGCTCGAATCGAAACTGGAGGGGGCGCAGGAGCCTCGGCCCACCACCGATCTGACCCGTCGTGCTCAACTCGCGGCGACGGGGAAGAGCGCCGTCGTCGCTGTCGCCAGCGTCTTCGGCAAGATAGCCGCTAAGATTACGATGCCGCCAGTCCGCTTGGCATGCCTGAAGGATGCGGTTAGATGCTAGATCTCCCCATGATTTTCTACATATTGAACTTCGCTCTCGGACAGTGAGACATAATCTGCAATGGATGCGGCCATCCCTCCGCCTATGCCATCACCGTGCTCGGGGCGCCAAGGCGTCTTGCCATGGTTGGGAATACGCAATGGGCGATAAATCTGGAATTTTCCAAGGTGCTGACTCCTAGCTGTGCACGGGCACGCGCGGCACCCCCCACGTGCATAAATCGCCTCGCGCTGGGATTCCCGCCTTTTCGTCGCTGCGTCCGCCGCGACGTTCCGGCGCGTTGACGACGCGCCCCCTTCGTCGCGAATGACACAATGTTTTAGACACCACCAATGGCGACACTCGTTTTCCGAGAAGCCGCACAAGGCAATATTTCACCTCAGAACCGTCGATATCCTGACGGGGGCCCTGGGTGTCGCACGAGAAAGTGGTGCACCCCTAAATGGGGCGCACGCCCCCCCCCCCGCCCCATGTCGCTGGAGCTCGAGCCGTACATGGGCTCGGCTGACTCGGCGTAGCCCCCACCTTTAGCATGGCCAACACCTCGAGGATAACTGCGACCACGGCCAACACCACCCGTGCCCGGGCTGTCTTTCCCGGCCCTGCCTGAACCGCCGCCTGCGCGGTGGGCCGTGGAGCCGCGGCCCCGGCGACCGCTTCCTTCGTCGCCTGTGCAAGGGCCGCCAGAGCCGATTGGGACCTTTCCAGACTTACCCCGCATCATGGATGCGTTGCTGCCTGCGGGCCTGGCCCAAACCCACCGCAGCCCGCCCCTCCTCGGCGAGTCCGAATACTGTCGGGACAGGGAGCGGACGCGGGCGATTCTGCGTGTCCGAGCTGTTCGGTTATTTCAGCGCCCGCGGCTGGCATGGCCTCCGCGCCAGACTCGCACTCGCCCTCATCGTCATATTCAGAATCGCCCTGCGCGCGTCCGTGCCAACGCAGACCGACCCGACCCCACTCCGCGCACCGCTCTGCCGCCACGGCGGCGCTGGCAAAGTGGGCCATCAAAAACCAAGACGAACTGATTTCAGACAGGGGGGGGTCTAGCTCGGGGAAATCAACGCACTCGATGACATCCTCTTCGGATAAGTCCGAGCCAAGAAATACGGACCCCCCCCCCTAGAACATTGCGCTCGGGAGTGCTTGTCGCCCCCACAAGTGTTGCATGTAAATACTTTCCGTCTTCACCCAATGGATTAGGCCTGCGCCCCCTGCCCTTGCCTATCGCGCGCCCACGACCTTTGCCTCTGTCATAACATCCTAAGAACGGGTCTTCAAAATCGCAGTCGGTCAATCCAGCCAGGAACGCGGCCACGCCTCTGCCGCGCAAGCTGCGGGCGCGCCTACCACCCCCGCCGCGACCCTTTCCTTTGCGGAAGAAGACACGACGCGCAGCTCACCTGAACATCCTAACTGGCTTCTTCATTTGTCGCCTCTACCTTCCTTCGGCGCGACGATATCCGAGGCGCAGGCATTGCGTCGCTGCATCACCACCGGCGAATAGGTCTGACCAGTCGAGGCTTTCGGCTCCAGTAGATGAGACCGCGTCGGCATCCGCACCGGAAACGAATACATCGCCGCCTTGGCGGCTGGGTGAGGCCCACAGGGCAGTCGCTTCAGGTGGCGCGCAGCTGGCCGCTGACGGCCAGCCCACGTTCGAGCCAGACGCCCGTTCGCCATTCGCGTTGGTGTCTTGGCCTAGAAGCGCAGTGGACTCAGCGGGGCCCCCGTCGTTCCAGATACTTCTCGGCACGGCCGCCGGTGCGTCGCTTATTTCGGCGCGGTCAGTGCCAGCGCTGCGTCCGCTGAAGATGCCCCCGACGTTGCCTGGGGAACGCTCAGCCAAGTGTCCACGGCTGCGCATTCGCTCCAGAAGCTGGTCGCGCGGTTGTTGCGCACGGGGAATCCGATGGTTCAAAGGTTGCAGCAGCTGCGCTGATTGGGAGGCGCCAGCGCCCAAGGCACGAGAGGAGATCAAAGTAAGGATCTGGAAGATGGGAATATTAAAACCTGCTGGGTCTGCTTCCAGCCTGGCCATCTCGAATCGGGCCAGCACTGAGTCGATGCGTTCGCCTCTCTCGACCCTGGTGTCGATGAGGGCTGTCCCAGAGGTGAGCTGTCGCTCGCCCCCAAGGTTTTCAAGCTTGGTGCTGAGTACGTACATGATGTATGTGACTCCATCGGTGCGTCCGCCCTGTTACGTGACACCATAGTTGATGATTGTGGATGGCATCTTGAAAGGTTGTGTCCTAGCCAATCCTCCTAGACCGCGCTGCAAGGCTGCGACCTGTCGGGGTGGAGTCATGCTTCCGAGTATGGCGTGAAGCCATGCGTATACTTCGCGAATGGCATCCAGTCCCCCCCTCGCATGCATGCCACGGCTAAGCCCAAACACACCCAGATAATTCCAAAGATGGCGACCCTGACATAGTGAGATTCGTGTTGTAAATGATGCTGTTCGGTTGCTTATCGTTGTATACCGTCGCGTCCGTAGGGTTGCGACTGGGCGTCTGGTCTGACGTGGCCGTCAATCTGCGGATAGGCATCGTTGGTTGGGTTGCGCGCGGCGTGCGGCCACGCGGTGGGGAGATGGAGGTATAGGACTGTAGGTTACCAATTGGTTCGAGAGCATTGGGGGCGTAGTGGCTGAGAGCCGGCGCAGTCGGGTACTCCACTGTACCGTGGTAAGTGGCTATGTACATAATACGTTGATGTGAGAGCCCGCCGCATGAAGATGTAGCCAGCTCCGCTACCGGTGAAAAGTAAGGGCACAAGGATTGAGCGAGAGGTAATAAGCTGAGGGCCCTACTCTTAAGATAACGTCGGCGACGTATCGAAGCATCCCACGACCCATCCCTTGATGGCAAAGTAGAGGAGAGATAAGAGAGGAGCCATGGGAATGGAAGGTGAATCATATAAGGGCGTGGCTTTTGTGTCCCATGCTAAGATCCCAATAGAGGTGCACAGGGTCGCGTGCACCTGGCATATCGGAAAGCGCTGCCTTGAGCCAAAACAGCGTCGGATATAGCAATCGCTATACAGCCTCTCCTTAAACCTCGCCCAAAATCCCGACGCTCCCGGACGGCTCACGAGGCCCTCAAGATCGCCCCCCGAAGACGGCCCAAGAAACCGTCAAGATGGCCCCAAAACGTGCACAGGGGGCCCCAGGACAGCCGAAAGGGCCTTCAAGACGGCCCAAGAGTCCCCCAAGACTGCTTCAAGAGGGGGCCCAGACGAGGGACCCGAACGGACATTTCAAGCCCTCTGCCCTGAAAGGAGCTCAGGAGGCTCCAAGAGGTCCCCAAGAAAGCCCAAAGAGGCCCCAAAAGGCCCCCATGAGGCACCCAAGAGGCCCCCAGAAGGTCCCCAAGAGGCCCCCAGAAGGTTCCCAAGAGGCCCGTAAGAGGCCCGCGAAAAAGGCCCCAAAACTGCCCCCAAGAGGCCCCCGAGAGCGCTCCGAAGAGACCCCAAAGAGCATCCCGAAGGACTCCGACCCACAATGAAGCACAGTGGCAGGATGGGCCGAAGGCCATCTGATTATGAGGAAGATCCTGGAGGCCTCGCGCGGCAACTTGAGACCCCGTGTACTACGAATCCACGTCGGAAATAAGTCGGATTCACGTCGGACTTATACGTCGGAGCATCGCCGCGCGAACGTCGACCCATACCTTACGGGGCGGACGTGTGAACTAGATGATACAATTCGCGAGGCCTCCAGGATCTTCATATAATGCGACAAGATCAGCGGCTACAACCACGCGCGAGGTCGCGAGTCTGGACGACTGCAACCAATTCACGAGCAGTGAGGCAAAAAAAGAGGCGCGGTGGGCTCACAATGGAGTCCACTCTGGACAACTTCCGTCGAGGCCAGTACAATGTTGAAATCTATCACCACCCCATAATCCCAATCGCCATCTATCCCATCGACGTCATCATCATTGACGTCACCGTCATCCTTACCTTTATCACGAACCTTGCCCAAGCATGTGCACCATGTATGCGAGATTCCACCACCAGTGCCCCCACACTGTCGCCTGGCTGCGTAGCCTAGTACGACCAAAAAAACTGATACCGAAGCATGGCAAGCCTGTCACATATCAACCGTCGCGCTCAAGCAGCACATCGGCCCAACATGCGTCAACGCAAATTACAGTCCGCGGCGCCGTTAGATGCCGACGAACTGCGTACGCGCCCAAGAAACAAATGGAGGCTTCCCGACTGGACCTGGACTGGACGGGGTCGGATGATCGCACAACATCGCGGAGGCCAACCAATCACAAGCTTCGCCCCCTCGGCTCGAGGGCCTTCCCGAGCTTTGCCGTCCGCGATCATCCGTTGTTCACGCATCGGCGAGGTACAATGGTTGCCCTGCGGGACCCTCAGGACAACACTCGCTACAGGGCGTCCTCCTGGGTTTCTTGAGCTCCTTCAGCGTCGTTGTGGGCCCTGGAAATGCGCGCCGCAGCCCATTCCAGAGGAGCACCGGTTTGTATTCATCCGGTACCTGCTCGTGCATGACAGGGCTATTGCGGTACTGCTTGACGTTCGCGCTGAGCCCCTGTACTCGGCTCCAGCTCGCGCTGCATGGCCGTGACGACGAGAATGGGTGACAGGTCAAGCCCTCGAAGGACTCCTTGAAACTCTCTGCGATATCCGCCCTCGTCCAGTTAATGAACGCATAACCTGCGGCCTGCGAAGACTCGAAATTCACGGGAAGGTAAACGAAGTTGAACAGACCAGAATAACCACGGGCATCGAGCAACCGAACCAGCTGCTCGCGACTATAGCTGCCAGGAAGGCCGCGCAGCATGACGGTGGTCTGGCCCTCTGGCCTGGACTGACTCTGCGCCTCCACCTTGCCGCCCTCGCCCTTGGCGTCAACACCCACGGGCCTGGCACTATCCTTTCAGAAGAGGGCCAAAAGAGACAACGGCGGTCCTCCTGGAAATACCGAAAGGTACCGATACCGCTACTCCCAGACCTCTCCCGGGGCGCATGCGTTCCGAGCAGAACTTCGAGGCGAATATCCAGCGGCGGCAACGAGGGCCTCACAGGAGGCCCAGGAATTGGGAAAACGAGGCGAGGGTAGCGGTATCAGTCCCGCTTCCTCCTCTGATCTCTCACCCGGCCCGCATCCCCTCAAAAGCCGTCCCTGGAGACCCCCTCCCGGCGGATCTCCAGCCGCGGCGACGGGGAGCCTCCGGGAGGCCGAAGAGGACTGAGAATCGGCAGGGGGGGCACCGCCGCGGTCTCGACCGGCCTCCCTCCGATCCTTAGGCTCGGGAGCGGAGGCGCCCAGGGGGATCCACGGGACGTAGGGCCTGGAGAGGGGCAACGGCAGGGCGGGGCCGGCTCAGTGGAGGGGGGGGGGAGCTGGAATCAGCTGAATCGGCGATACGTCGCCGATGATCGGCGATAGCTCTCCCCGATGGCGAATCCGCACGTTCCAAGGCGGGGAGGGCTACCAGGCCCCTCTCGGCATCAGTGGGCGATTGGGGGCCGATGCACTCCCCCCATGCGCCAATCCCCCCCCCAGTGATCCTCGTCGTCCTGTTTTCAAGTCATACGGGCAGCCGGAACGCCCTGGAAGGCACCCCGAGGCTGGAAAGCCGCCGGGAACCAACGAAAACGCCCGAAAACCTCGAACTTCGAAGAGCCGTCCCCCCCTATCGTCGCCGCCGAGGCCTGGAGTTGGAGCTGAGCGGCGTGCAACACCGGGGACAACTGCAAATGCGATATCTAGGACAACTGGTTTCCAAATGCAAGAATCGTTCGAAAGCAGAGCCAGGGCACTGCTTTGAAGCGTCGCACCTACATGGGCCATTGGGTTATCGCTGCGGGGCCCCACAGGAGGCTGGAGGAGGGCAGAGGAGGGCAGAGGAGGGAGCAGGACTGGAGAGGGTGGTGGTGTGCGTTCCCTGAGGCCGCAGTCGCTGCCCCCGAGGCCTGGACCTGGAGCTCAGCGGCGTGCGAGCGCCCGCCCCTTCGAGAGGCCTTTGCGGTGCGGCGGCGCAGCCCACCAGCAGCGCGTGCCGCTGCTGCGGGCTGGGGGGGCCACACGGCTGCGAGGGCGGCCAGGGGAGCGCGGGAACCTTCTCCGGAGGGAAGGAAGGCAGGGACCATGACCAGAACGCGTCTTCTTCCCAGCCATCCCGTGGTGCGGGGTCCGGGGTCCTCGTCTTGGAGAGGCAGCGCCCCGCGTCTTCCTCCTCCTCCTCGCCCTCCTCCCTCCTCCCGTCCCTGCCTCCGCCCTCCGCATGTCCATGTCGGCGCACCCCTCACACGCGTCGCGGTCCCATAGGGAGTTCCACCTAAGCCCCTTGTGGTTATGATCACATGCGGTTCCCCGCCCATGTTCGGCGCACCCCAACCGAAACTCTTCCTGCATTTTTTCATGACATGAAAGGCCGATGATGAGAAAAAGCCAGCTTCCAAACTGATGGTAAGGGGCCTCCACCATGCCCATACAAGGCCAACGAGGGAGAGGAGGACGGGGGGAAGGGAGAGAGAAGAGAGCGAGGGGAGAGCGGCAGGAGGGGGATTCTAACCAGGACTGGACGCGAAGACGGCGGAGACGCCCGTTTTTGCTTGTTCGCGACAACGCCCGTGACCGGCCCCGCCCCCCCCCAGTCCCCCTGGTCACGTCACGATTCGCGCCGGCGCAGTCTGGGAATGAACCATTCTTAGAGACTCCCAAACGGCTCAGGCGCGAATCGTTTCACGACCGTCCCCCTCACGCCATTTACGCATCGCCAGAGGTTACAAAAAAACGGTCTCGTGTCGATCTTGGTCACCGTCAACTCGTGGCTCATCCTGGCAGATCGGCGACGGCCAGCATGGTCCATGGCGAAGACCGGGGTCGACAGGATCCCGCGACGTGTTGGTCGTGGTCCTCAGGCTTCTTCCCCCAATTCTCGCCCGCGAAGGGCAGCCACCCACATAGGTGGCTCTGATGCTGAGCGGCGGCCTTTGCGCTGGGACTCCCGGGCCAGTCCAGGAGGAACGGCTCATCGTCCTCCATGTCCGCCCAGAGCAGGGCCTGGTTGAGGGACAATTTTTATGTGGGGGTGCCCAAATGAAAAATGAGCACGTACATATATGTATCGGAGGTGAGAGGGTGAGATCGAAGTGGAACGGAAAGCCCCCCTACCGGGAAATCGGTTTCGGTTTCGTGTTCGTGCGTGCCGTGCGTGCGGGCGAGGCGAAGCTGCGTGGGCGGGCGAGAAGAAAGTCTCCTCCGGCTGAGGCGCGGCCGGACCAAATGATTCCTTTCCGGGGGGCGGTGGCCCGCGGTGTCCCGCCGGTGTCCCGCCTCCGGCTGAGGCGCGGCCGGACCAAATGATTCCTTTCCAGAGGCTGGTGGCCCGCGGTGTCCCGCCGGTGTCCCGCTGGTGTCCCGTCGGTGTCCCGTCGGTGTCCCGATGATGATGATGATGATGATGATGATGATGATGATGATGGTGATGATGATGATGATGATGATGATGATGGTGATGATGATGATGATGATGGTGATGGTGATGGTGATGGTGATGGTGATGATGATGATGATGATGATGATGATGTGGATGCCTTTGATGGTGATGATGATGATGATGATGATGATGATGATGATGATGATGATGATGATGGTGATGGTTGTGATGACGATGGTGTCCCGATGATGATGATGATGTTTATGTTGACGATGTTGTTGATGATGATGATGATGATGATGGTGGTGAAGACGATGGTGTCCCGATGATGAAAATGCTGATGATGATGTTGCTGATGATGATTATGATGATTATGATGATGGTGTCCAGGTGATGATGATGATGATGATGAGGATGATGATGTTGATGATCCTGATGATGTTGTTGATGATGAGATGATGATGATGAAGATGATGATGATGGTGTCCCAATCATGATGATGATGTTGATGATGGTGCTGTTGATGATGATGGTGATGATGATGGTGTCCCGATGATGATGATGATGATGAGGTTGATGATAACATTGATGGTGTCCCGATGATGATGATGTTGATGATGAGGATGATGATGAGGTGGTGATGATGAGTTTGATGGTGGTGGCCCGATGATGGTGATGATGCTGATATTGATAGTGATGATGGTGGTGTCCCGATGATGATGGTGATGATGATGAAGGTGACGTTGATGATGGTGTCCTGATGATGACGGTGATGATGTTGACGATGATGATGATGATATGTTGCTGATGATGGTGTCCCGATGATGATGATGATGATGTTGTTCATGATGATGATGATGATGAGATAATGATGGTGATGATGGTGGTGTTCCGATGATGATGATGGTGTCCTGATGATGATGATGATGTTGATGATGATGATGGTGACGATGCCGGTGTCCCGATGATGCTGGTGATGGTGATGATGATGTTGATGATGATGGTGACGAGGTAGTGATGATGATAATGATGATGATGGTGTCCCGATGCTGATGATGATGTTGATGACGTTGATGACGATGATGTTGTTGATGATAATGACGCTGATTGTGAGATCGATTGTGATACCGATAGTGAGATCGATGGTGAGACCGAATGTAAGATCGATTGTGAGATCGATAGTGATATCGATAGTGAGATCGATTATGAGATCGCTAGTCAGATCGATTGTGAGATCGATCGCATGAAATAGATCGAGTGAGATCGATCGAGTGAGCTCGATCGAGCGAGACCGATAGGGAGATCGATAGTGACATCGATAGTGAGACCGATCGAGTGAGACGTTGGTTCCTCCCCCCCCCCAAACCTCCTTATCACCCGAAGGGTGGTCGTATAGGTATAGTTAAACACCCATATAGTTGTGCGCCTACAAACCTACACACATATAAATTGATGCATATATATATATATATATATGCATATATATATATATTAATATTAATATTAATATTAATCACCTACCTATACGACCACCCATCGGGTGAGCAGAAGGTTGCGGGAGGAAGAGGGGGGAAACCAACATCTGACTCAATCGACCTCACCATCGATCTCATTCAACGGGACACCACGGGACACCACGGGACACTTGTCGATCTCACTATCGATCTCACTATCGATCTCACTCAACGGGACACCACGGGACACCACGTGCCACCACGGGACACCACGGGACACCTCGGGACACCTCTCGATCTCACTATCGGTCTCACTATCGATCTTACTATCGATCTCACTCAACGGGGCACCATAGGACACCACGGGACACCACGGGACACCTCGGGACACCACATCGATCTCACTATCGATCTCACTATCAATCTCACTCAACGGGACACCACGGGGCACCTGTCGATCTCATTATCGATCTCACGATCGATCTCACTCAACGGGACACCACGGGACACCTCGGGGCACCACATCGACCTCAGTATCGATCTCACTATCGATCTCATTGTCGATCTCACTCAACGGGACACCACGGGACACCACGGGACACCTCGGAACACCACATCGATCTCACTATGGATATCACCATCGATCACACTTTTTGGGACACCACGGGACACCTCGAGGCACCACATCGACCTCAGTATCGATCTCAGTATGGATCTCACTATCGATCTCACTATCGATCTCACTATCGATCTCACTCAACGGGACACCACGGCACACCACGGGACACCATGGGACACCGCGGGACACCGCGAGCCACCGCCGAACGGACGGACGGACGGGCGGGCGGGGGAGAATCATTTGTCTTGACTACGCCCTAGCAGCGGCGGACACCACGGGACACCACGAGACACCACGGGAAACCATGGGACACCGCGAGCCACCGCTGGACGGGCGGGCGGGGGAGAATCATTTGTCTTGACTTCGCCCTAGCAACGGCGGACGCCACGGGACACCACGGGACACCACGGGACACCATGGGACACCGCGAGCCACCGCCGGACGGGCGGGCGGAGGGGGAGAATCATTTGTCTTGACTTCGCCCTAGCAACGGCGGGTTCATTCCTCTCGCGCGCCCAAGCAGCTTCGCATCGCCCGTACGCACGAGACGAACGAAACGAAACGAAACGATTTCCCGGTGGGGGTCTCCGTTCCACTGCGATCTCATCCCCCAACCTCCGATATATGTGTACATATGGATGTTGACATGTATCGAATACGTCTGTGTATACACACGTGTATACGCATGTGCACAGATACGATCATATATAATAAAAACAATAAACGCCCAGAGAAGGGCCTCGTTAAGAGCGCGCCCGCCGCGCTGCGCCGCCGCATCGACTACAGACCCCTCGCGGGAGGATGCCGAGGTGCTCAAGTCGCACACGCTGTGGAGCGCCCCGATGCTGGAGTCGGAGTGCGCGCGGCGGAGGCTCAGCCTCGCGGAGCGCTCCTCGTCCTCGTCGACGCTCCTGTTGGGCACGCCCCTGGCGGTGTTCTTCACCCGCGCCCAGCGACGCGCGGAGACACCCGAACTCGGGAACGGGGCGTCCTTGGCGGCGCGCAGAGGGGGGCAGGGGCAGGGGGGAAAGCATCTTTGAAGCAGGCCTGCTTCTCAGAAGGCGCCGGCCCTACATCTACAGAGAAGGCCCGCGCCTTCTAAGAAGCAGGGGTGCTTCTAAGAAGCCTTCCCCCCTGACCCTGCCCCCCTCTGCGCGTGGCCGACGTCCGTAGGCGCCATGGTGAGAGGTGAATGTGAAGGACGGCCGAATGGCCCAACCGTAAAACTTTCGGGAGATCGCGCACACGAACGGGGCTCGGCCGACGGAGACGGATTGAGCCAGAGGCGCTCGATCGGATGCGAGCAGATGGCGCGGCGCCAGTTTTCCGCCACGACCAGCCGCGGCGACGGAAGCCCGGGGCAGCTGGCGGAGCCTTGAGCCTTGAGCCGTTCGGAGGCATGAGCGTTCGGAGGTCCGTGTGGATCTCCGAATGTATGTCATTTTTCTTCGCTGGTCATCATAACCGTCACCACCACGTCTTCTTCGTCATCGTCATCCCCCCTCCTCCCTCCCACACTTCTCGCCTCGTCCTCTCCGAGGCCTCTGAACGCACGTGTGCTAGGCGGGCAAGCTCGACTGGGTCGGCGGCGAGCGAGGAAGGGGGAGTGAGAAAGAGAAGGCCTTCTCAGAAGGCTCGGAAGTCCTCCACCCCAGCCTTCTGAAAAGATTCCGAACCATTCCCCGAGGACACAGAACACTTCTCGGAGGGCTCGATCGTTTCGCCGCCCTCTGAAAAGTTCCCTGCGTCATCCCCCATCGCTCGCCGCGAGCCGGGGGGGCCAGGAAGCGCGGACGCCCTCCTCCGACAAAAACCAGCGGTTTCGAACCCCCCCTGTGCAACGCAACGTCTTGTCGACGCTCTCGAGCAGGGGCCACAGATCATCTCCCTCCCTCCCTCGGGCAGGGGCAAGCAAGGGGTCCCCTCCCCGACTCCCTCCCTCCCTCCCTCCCTCCCTCCCTCCCTCCTCCCCCTCCCTCCCCCCCACTTCCCCTGCAGAGGGCGACCCCCGATCGGAGTCCAGCAGCTTGAGCCCGCCCGCCGCGTCCAACGACACCGCCAGGGGCAGCGCCTGCGATGCCTCGGAGAGAGCAGGAGGCTTTCCTTCCCTTCAATCCTCGGTCATCGACCCTGGGCCTTCCTCCTCGCCTTCCTCTTCAACCTCCTCCGCCGTTTCCTCCTTCTTCTCCTCCTACTACGACGAATACGACAAGGACGAAAAGGACGACGACTAAGACGACTGCTGCTGCTGCTGCTGCTGCTGCTGCTGCTCCTGCTACTGCTACTGCTACTGCTACCACCACCACCACCACCACCACCACCACCACCACCACCACCACCACCACTACTACTACTACTACTACTACTACTACTACTACTACTACTACTACTACTACTACTACTACTACTACTACTACTACTACTACTACTACTACTACTACTACTACTACTACTACTACTACTACTACTACTACTACTACTACTA